GTTTGTTTCTTTTTTAACTACACGCTCCGTGGCTGAACCTCTACCTGTATGGAGTGTGCCGTGTCATGCTGCGCCGCATAAAAACGCATTATGTTATGCCGTCCTAATTGCCTCGCATCGTATCCTTTAAGACAATAATTTAAGCGTGAGCGTAACGTGAAAGGCCACAACATTGAGAAACTCCGACACATTTTTTCCCTATTTGTTGTCAGGTCTCCGGAATGGCGCGACAGAAAGTTCGGCCCGCCTACGAGCTGCTGTCTGCTTCGTGCGGTCTGGCCGCACAGACGTACTCGGTACATGCCCGGAAATGAGAAAGATACAGCCTTCCTCTTCAACATTGACAGCGGCATGGACGTCCTCAACAGCGGCCATCCGAGGGACGCCAAAACACTGCGGAGAGGCTACTCCGGCACTCCCGGGCAGGAGGACGCCCTCTCTAAGCTGGTGGAAGAGGTGGAGAGATTGCAATTCGGCTCAGCTGGTCACCTCCCGTTCCAGAAGGGTCTAGTAGTGACAGTGAAGGTGGAGCGGGGTCTGCTCGCTGACGTGCAGCGGCGTTTTGGCCCGGACTGCTAGCTGCTGCTCCGCCACGTCACCCAGAACCGGCTTTAGGGCTCGTTCAGTCACATCCACGGCTCTGGCGGCGGAAGCCCCAACCCCACGACGACAGAGGTGAAGGGGCGCCTCCGCCTGTTCACTCTGATCCAGCTTGCGCGTCACGGGCCCACGAGTCGCTCACCCGCGGCGCTCCCGGTACCAGCGGCGGAGGTGGAGGCGGGGGGAGAGCCGGAGGCAGACGAGGACCAAGCCGACCAGGCGCAGATGGTGTGCTGGAGGCGGTATGCCCTGAGCCACCCCAAGAAGTTCAGTACCTGAGGGGACGGAGAGCCTGGAGCCCGTTCCTGACGAGCCAGCCCCGGACGCAGAGGAGGAGGCGGAGCAGGAGAGGGCGCAGCTACTGCGGGAGGCCGAGACAGTGCATATACCGCCTGCGCCCTCAGCGGCGCTGGACGCTGAGACTGGTGTGCCGGCCACCGAAGGTGCAATGGCGCGTCTGGCCGGCTACATCGCCAGAAAATGCGGCCCCAGCTTCGGCGCGCTAGCGATGGCATCTGAGGACGCGCCAGTTCAGACGCTCTGGACTCGACTGCGCAGTGCGGCCGGCGGACTCACGATCCCCTCCCAGTCCTGCTTAGACCTGTTTAATCAGCTCGAGGCGGAGTTCATATATGTTTCACGTGTTCGCTGAAGTGCCTTGAAAATGCTCAAATGTGTGCCATTCGTGATTTGCCTGATGATGCAGTACAAGTACTGTGAAACGCGTTGCAGTTAATATAGCTGATGATATGTAAATGCAGTCTACATCCATATCGTGCTCAAATAATGTAGCGCACAAGCTACCCTGAGGGAGTACCCTGGTATGCTGAGTATGTTTTCGTAGTGTTACAAAGCGTACCGTCGGACAGAATGGAGCTATGCTGCTGTGACATTCATCGAACCTCCCGTTTGATATTGGTTGCATACTGTGCATGTGTGCACTTTCACATATCGTGTTATCTGAAATTGAATCGACCTATGCCGCTGTGCCGCTGCCTAGGTTGCCGGCGACAGCGGCGGGGCGCATCTGATCGGCACAATGTTACAGATCAGGATCCGTCCTGTCTGGAGGTAGTCGGACCGGTGTTTGTCTAGCCAGATGTACTCCATCGTATCACTGATGTTCATCTGTAAGGCTGTGCTCTTGCCTAATGCTGCTTCCATCCATTCAGTCAGTTTTGAATTGTAATAGAGGAAGCCAGATGTCATAGATGTCTTCGTTTAAGGGATTGTTTTCGCATGTCATGCATCGGAAATACAATCAAAATAGAATTAACTGATGATCAGCTATGTAACCGCAAATCAGCAGCATCGAATCTATGTACAGCATTGTTATGCACTTCTACATTCTACAACCGAAGTGATCCGACAAAACACCAGCGACCATCAGCCAAAATATAACTTATATGCCCTGGAACCACAAGTGTTTGCTAATTCGATGCACATGAATACCGCGACTTTTCATGGAAATCAACAGCTATTATCACCGGTAACCAAAAACGTTATTGCCAGACATTCATTTCAATGATAGCAACACAGCAACGCTAGTCAATGGGATGTAGAACTTCTTTCGGTGGCATATTTTGCATACTTCTCTACTTTTCTTCAGTAAAACTGACCCGGGATGCATAAGGTAATCCATTTAGCTTTCAAATGACATTAGAAGTTTTCATTTGAGTTTCACAGTTCCTGAGATAATGCGGCTAGAAAAATGGCTAAAATTAGGGATTTTCCCATAGCTCAACATTAGTGAAGGAAAAACTTCAAGCTCTGGTGACGTCACGTGAGGAGGAAGCTGCCAATGACAATGACCGGGGGCTGAACCAAGATACCTATAAGAAACAGGTAGATCCGATGTTTGAAAGTAAAGCCCCAGTCACAAATTTGACGCACCTGTGACATTTCCTGACACCCACGTGACTATTGTATTAACTTTTGTGTTTTGCGATGTTTTGACCTTATTTAAAGTACTGAAAGCTCAAAATGAATGATTAATGTTGTTTAAAGCAGCATATTAATAATTATGTTTGTAAATTATCGATAAGCTGCTTATAGCAGGTCACGTGATTGCTACCAGATTATGTGCTCAGAAAGCATCTTTTCAACTTCGATTTTGAGCAATTTTTACCTCCTTTGAGGCCAAATGATGGACGGTTTGAGGCACACGATGAAATGCTGAATCTATTGATGCCCAAATTTGTTCGTTTTTTGCATTTTTAGACTAGTATATCCTGGCTCAAACTTTGACCAGTTTGTGTGTAAACCCTATGGTGAAGGGAAAACTTCACGCCCAGCAGACGTCTTTACAGTGCTGCCAAATCGTGTTTGGTGGGGGTCGGGCTGAACCCCACTGCACGTGCAAAATGCAAAAAGAAGAGGCATCAAATGTGTTCCCAATAAAATAATTCGGTAATTTCTGAGGCGATTTCGCTGAAACTAGGCATGCAGTTGCAGTAAACATTCACTAGGCCTATGTGCATTCCTAATTCCTATGTGCAATGCAACGGTTATGGTGCTACTGTACGTGTGTTGCGTACATGCAGAGGACGCTTCCAGATCTCGAGAACGGCTGGGCCAATTGCGCTCAAATTTGGTACACGGCTGGGAACCGGTTAGCAGGGTGCCGTACAAAGGCCAGTTTTGACTCGGTTTCCAGACAGCAATTTGGTCTGGCTCGAGTCCATTTTGCCCCGGCAACTCTGACATGCCCGAGTTCGGCTGGTGTAAACGAAACGGCGTCAGAGCCGAGGTTTGGGTCGATATGGCTCTATTCCGGTTAGCCAGCCATTGCCGTAGCGCTCCCGAGTTGGTATGGTTTCGGACCGCAAGTCTGGCCCAAGTCCGGCTCCCTGACACGGCTCAAGTCCGGCTTCCTCCGGCCAGGTCCGGCTACCTTGTAGCTGCTCTGGCCTACTATGGCTGAAGTACGGTTGAGGTACGGCACGGCTGATACGGCTTAAGTCCAGTTGTGGTGCGGGCGAGCTCTGGGATCGTGTGTCAGCTCCAGTAGAGCCCCAGACCTTGCCTGTACTTTGGCCGGAGCAAATACCGGAGCTAGCCAGAGAAAACCCAGCTACAGCCCAGACCAAATTTGCTGGCTGGGTTTGCACGTGCGCACATGCAGGATGCCGCTTTCAGATCTCGGGAACAGCTAGGCCGATTGCACCCAAATTTGGCACATCGTTAGCGACCGGTTAGCAGGGTGCCCTGCACGAGCCCGTTGGAAGTAGGTACCTACCCTCTCGCCCTTCCGCACGTGCAGGGGTCACTCTTTCACTCGCGCGTTCTTAGCCCAAAAGGCGTTTTACTGACAGCAACAGTAGCTGCCATCGCCGTGATAGTCTAGTGGTTAGGACCTCGCGTTGTGGCCGCGATAACCCCGGTTCGAATCCGGGTCACGGCAGGCGAGATTGGTTTTGGGTCTCTCAATGACTCTCCGGGTCTGCGGGGTCTCGGCTTGACCCAGACAGCCGACACTCTACTGTCTCTGCTATTGGAACCCACTCACATTAGTCAGCAATAATCGTAAGGTCCTGCAGTTCCCTCCATGGTGCACGCGCGTGCATCCTACGTCGTAGAACTGCATACTGTTAGGTGTTGGCTCAAAATCACCAACACATGCACTGTGGAATATCGCCACCGCATGCATGGCATTCGGTCCGACACCCTGGACTTATTTGCCAAGACTGCGATAACGTCAAAGGTGAAAACATGCAATACGCATTATCCATGAGTGACATAAGTCAGCGCAACATCAAAAGCATGTAGCGTTGAAGTCTCCGGACACCCTACTACCCAGCGATGGTGGTATAGTGGTGAGCATAGCTGCCTTCCAAGCAGTTGACCCGGGTTCGATTCCCGGCCATCGCATCACATTTTCTATCAATTCACTATCCACCAGCTGGATAGAGCGGCCACTTCTTTACAATTTATTTTCAGTGGCTCCCGAGTCCCTTCACCGACCCCCTCCCCCTGTTATTGCTTATCTGTTCTCCAGAGTAAATTCTGACAAGCCCGTTTATCAAAAAGGAAAGGCCGTTTTTTCCTGGTGAAGGCACGAGGCACCCACCCTTGGGACTACGATAACCTTGCTATGCATGTCAGACCGTTTGTCACTTATCGACCCGATTCCCCAGAGAGGTGCTTTCAATGATTTCATTGACTTCCATTGGTTGCACTGTTTTAAAAGCACCATTATCTCTTTGTCTACTTTAGTCTGACAAAGCTAAGAAAGAACGAAGCTAAGGCGCCTCGAAGCACTTAACACGTCGTGCATTGGACATTGGAGATAGCCTACTCGTTCTTAAATTTGACAGCAATTATCTTCGTTATATATTTTCGTTATCTATCTATCATCATCTAAAATTATCTATCATTCTCCGGTTGGTCAGCGCTCTTACCGGTCTGTTTCCGGGGAAGGCGACGCTGCCAGTCGAGAGGAGCGGCACGGCCGGCTTCACCACGTTTACAGACGCCCCGAACGGGTACACGTACACCAGCGCCCTGCAACCAGAGACAACAGAATATCAATGCGCACACCACCAACGGGCGAAAGGAACATCAATACACACACCAGCCGGCCCACCAACACAACAGAATCTCAATACACACACCAGCGCCGACAAAGGGATCTCGAAAAACGCAAGCGCCCTGCGGCGGGAGAAAAGAGTCCCACAGATTACACGTCCGCAGCGTCGCGTGGGTTGGCTGGCAAACAGACGGGAAAGTGCAAACCAACAGCGAGACTGTTAGGCTTCAAAAGCATTGCTTCAAAGCATTCATCTTCGTAAAGAAGCAAAGCATTCGGGACGAGAAACGGGACGGCCATTAAATAGATAATTTTGTTTTAAAATATTGCAATTGCTAATATGCATTCAGTGTGACGAAATCATGATTCATGTGTGTCATGACGGACCGAAAACACTCTTGCTACTTCCTACCACGCTGCATATAATCGCAGCATAACTTACTCTGAAAGGTGAAACTGTAGCACGGTTCAAGTACATTCTTTGAACAGCCATGCTAGCCAAATTGCAGCAAGTCACAATGAATCCAATCTCGGCCATATATCAACTCAGCACGCAGCATCGTTTAATCGTTCATCAACATTCAGCAGTCACCCAACACTACTGTAATTTCGAGTTCCCGACTCACTGCGTGTTGTTTCCGTCGTCATCCATACCCATTCCGGGGATGGACTTGCCGGCCATCTGGCTGAGGGCGCGGTTCAGGATGCCGTTCGAGATGTAGCACTCCTTCGGATGGAAGTACTTGTAGTACTGCGATCGCACCACTGCGTCTGTGAACGGGTATTGAAGGGATTAAGCATAGATTGAATAGACGTGTGGGGACGGATGAGCAAGTTTACAATAGGAAATGAGTGACTGCTCGTAAGCAATGAACATCGCCAATGGGTGTTTAAAGTTCATTGCCCGATTGCCCTATCAGTTCGAGCCTCCCTAACCCTCGCCCGCACATGGGGGGTTGCCCCCCCCCCCCCCCCCCCAGGTAGTCTTTCTGCTCTGCACTGAAGATTTTTAGAGCTAGAAGGCTGATTTTTCGTAAAGCTGCTCATCTATCCTTTCTTGATGTCCACTGAAAATTTCAAGTTTCTATGGTTTTTGGTTTCGGAGATATGACCTTGTTTTTCAGGTCATGTCATGACCCAAATGGCCAATTATCAACATCTTGCGTTGGCTATGGGCCTTGTGAGCTTTTGACACCTTGATTTAGGCCTTTTTTGCCAGTCTTACCTCCCACCTATCATGGAACATGTTGTTCGACGATGTACAGATGTCAAGGTCAGGGTCAAGGTCAACCTAAGTCATCTAAGATAATTGCGTTTTAGGCAAGCGGAATTTACTTTTTGTGAAGTTTTTTGACTGCATTTTTGGTAAAAGCTTCTCATATCATGATTTCATGTAATATGGACACAAAAACAATCGGTGCACACATCAGTATACACACAGACACACACAGACATACATACACATATAATTGACCTTGACCTAACTTGACCTGAAATGACCTCAGCAGCAAAAACCTGGTCGGGTAGTGTGACAAAGAGGTTCTAGCTGGCTTGGCACCAGAAAACGGCATCGTCATCGGTATATGATAAGCAGCGCACTTGATATGCAACGGTGACCCACAACAGCAACATTTTTTTTAGTTTGACCTGACCTGGAAGGTCAATGACTGACCTGAGAAGGTAAAACTGGGTATCATTGGATTCGTCTCTTCCCAAAGAATCTTTTTGGTCTTTACCGCTAAGCTCTATCTCCAACAGGAACGAAATGGCGCGGAGGGTGGCAACCACCCCCCCCCCCCCCCCCATGTGCGTTCTAGGATGGGAAAATGGCATGTGCGGGCGAGGGCTAAAGCAGCACAGGGAGGAGCACAATAATGAAAGAACTGTGGTAATACCAACTGTAACAATTAACCCTCGCCCGTAAACGGCGATCTGCCACCTTCGCCCATGCAGGGGGGGGGGGGTTGGTGCGACCCCCCCCCTTGGCGTTTGAAAACGGAGCGTCGTAGAGCTTAGCGGAAAAGACCAACGGATTGCTCTCGCCGAGATCTCGCGATTGGTGGTATATTTTTTGGTCCTAGGTCAACATTTGACCTACTTTTGACCGGTCAAAGGTCAAATTTTCGGAAAAATAGACTTTTTCAAATTTTCCGCGGCGATTGCGGCAAAACGGTGGGAGATATCGACTTGAAACCTTCACTATCGTGTTCCTTGATCAATTCTCTATCGTTTGGTATGTATTTCGTTTCCCTAGCTCTAAAAATGGCGCGTTGGGAGCGCCGGAAGTCGGCAAGGTCACAGTCGGCGGCAGAAATTCGAAAAATCAAAATTTAAATTTTTGAAATCTGATTGTATTTTTGGATTTGGGATGTCCATTTGCTCCCTATAGAAGCTAATATTGCTGCATATTCCCATTGAGGTGACAAGAATTAGCAAAATAGTGGTTCGGGCGCTTTTCAAAAATAGTACCGGACGCTGTTCCTCTTGTGACGTCATAGCTCCGTGACCTGACCTGACCCGGTCAAGTTTCTTATACCATATGATAGCCAATACTTGCCCCAACATGCATGGGAAGTTTCATCACGATCCATCAACCGATGTCCGTACCACCGGCAGGAAACCTCGGGCGTTGGCACTCAGTTTGTGAAAATCCGGCCGGAGGCTGTTCCCTTTGTGACGTCATAACTCCGTGACCTGACATGACCCGGTCAAATTTTTTTATCAAAAGATGCGCAAGGTTTGCCCCATAAGGTACCCAAAATTTGGCGGCGCTGCGCGCCGCCGTTTTTGCACTATTTCCGAAAAACCTCAGGGGGGGGGGGTTGCACCAACCCCCCCCCCCCCTACATGGGCGAGGGTTAAAAGCCAGCAACGTCCCATAGCATTGTCAAAGCAGTAAGGACTTGTCTAACGCCTACTCACGGTCGTCAAGTTAGATGTAAGTGAATCCTTATCTATAATCTAAGATTCGGAATCAGGTGAGCCCCTACGATTTGGACCAAACTTGGTCAGTGGATAGTACGTAACGTCCTGATTACGATGCACCCAAAATCTAAGCTCGGCCCGCCATATTTACGAAGTTACGGATGTTTGAATTTCAAGGTCATTCGGGAGAGCCCCTACGATTTCCGTCAAAATTTGTGTACGGACACTCTAGATGCTCCTCATTACGAATATCACGAAATTTAAGCTCGGCCCGCCATATTTACGAAGTTACGGAGGTTTGAATTTCAAGGTCATTTGGGTGAGCCCCTGCGATTTCCGTCAAAATTGGTATACGGACATATTACATCCTCCTCATTGCAAATATCATAAAAGTTAAGCTCGGCCCGCCGTATTTTTCAAGTTACAGAGTCACAAAGTTACGGAATTTCAAGGTCATTCGGAGAGCCCCTCCGATTTTCGTCAAAATTTGTATGCGGACACATTACATGCTCCTCATTACGAATATCGTAAAAGCTAAGCTCGGCCCGCACTATTTCAAAAGTTAGAGATGTTTGAATTTCAGTGAGTTTCAAACGTCAGTAACTTTTGAAATAGTGCGGGCCGAGCTTAGCTTTTACGATATTCGTAATGAGGAGCATGTAATGTGTCCGCATACAAATTTTGACGAAAATCGGAGGGGCTCTCCGAATGACCTTGAAATTCCGTAACTTTGTGACTCCATAACTTGAAAAATATGGCGGGCCGAGCTTAACTTTTATGATATTTGTAATGAGGAGGATGTAATATGTCCGTATACCAATTTTGACGGAAATCGCAGGGGACCTTGAAATTCAAACCTCCGTAACTTCGTAAATATGGCGGGCCGAGCTTAAATTTTGTGATATTCGTAATGAGGAGCATCTAGAGTGTCCGTACACAAATTTTGACGGAAATCGTAGGGGCTCTCCCGAATGACCTTGAAATTCAAACATCCGTAACTTCGTAAATATGGCGGGCCGAGCTTAGATTTTGGGTGCATCGTAATCAGGACGTTACGTACTATCCACTGACCAAGTTTGGTCCAAATCGTAGGGGCTCACCTGATTCCGAATCTTAGATTATAGATTAGGATTCACTTACATCTAACTTGACGACCGTCGCCTACTCGATAAAACTCCTGAAACCAACAACGCCACTGTCTGTTCTGCGGCCACCAATGTCCGTCCACGCCCACTACCGCACTGCGTCCGGCGTGTTCGGAGCCCGCCACTGACCGCTGTTGATGCTCATGCCGTACTCCTCCAGCAGATAGTTGATGTTGGTCTTGCTGCGCTTCTCGCCTCCCTCGCCCAGCATCACCAGCAGGCTGCCGCCCGAGGCTACGAACTTCTTCAGCGTCTGCACGCGCAGGGAAGAACACGATGGTATGACACACGACCGAGACACAACACCACGGTTTGGTGTTTGATTGCTTAACCCGCGCCGACTTCCGCGCCGGGCCGCGGGGGGTGTCTCAACACCCCCCGTCTAACTCGGCTCCTGGGCCACGCAGCGACACGCGATAAGCGGCAATCGAAAGAACGTCCAAATTGAGGACGAAAACACTTCGGTCATTTTTTGGGTCAGGTCAAAGGTCAGGTCACCAGAGGTCACCAAAGGTCAAATGTAGGCCATTTCAACAATTTTGGAAACTGCCGACGACTAGCTCGGGAACCAATAGAGCTATAGCGCCGCGGAAAAGCGCATTCGATAGCCCTTTTACAGACCTTTCTGAACTTTGCTCTCAGATTTGACCTCGGGTCAACGGTTTAGCCTCCAGAGAGCAAAAACTGTAAAAATAGCCGTTTTCACCAAAAACAGTTGTTCAGTAATAACTTTTGATTCAAGCAAGCCACGACATTACTTTTGCCAGCATCGTGTTCCTCTCGTCGAGACGCGTCGAATGAACTATTCGCTGACCTTGAAAGGTCATTTTAATAATGCGACCTCAGGTCAAGGTCATGACCTGACCGGAAAGGGTCATGTTGCATATCGGTGGATCCGTATCGAGCTGGATACATCTGACGTGTTTTCATCGCTCTAGCACGTCTCTATCAAGGTAGCCAAAAAACTGCTGATGACCGTTCATGACCTGAGATGACCTCAGGGGCACACAGAAGGGTCACAGGTGCATTTTTTCCGATTCAGTGTGTCCTGTTTACCCATGAACCGATGTTTGAGAGGGTTTTGATCACCATTTGTCCACAAGAGGCGCATTTCAATTTTCTCCCATTGACTTATAATGAAGAGGTCGCAAAATTGACCTGACCTTAGGTCACCGGTATCAAAATTCCGAGATATAAATTTTGGACATACTGTTACTCTTATCAATCGCTGAAAGTTTCAAGGCGATCGTTTAGCCACTGTAGCTCTGACGAGGATTGAAACTTTTTCTGAGGTGAGGTCACTTGACGTGACCTGGTGACCTGACCTTGAAAGCCCTGGGTCTGAAATTTTCACAACATGTGCGGAAAAGATACATGAACAGGTGTGCCAAAAACGGCGCCGCCGTTTTTGAGATATCTGCGAAAAACCGCATGGGGTTTAAACACCCCCTGGCCCGGCGCGGGTTAACAAAGACATTGATGAATCAAAATGAAATAAAATCGCACATTGACATCATCACAAGTCTATGAACAGAGGCTTATCAATCGTGCTTATTGTCATATTGGTGTTGATAGAACACACGAGGTGGTGGGAATAACTTGAGAAAGTTGGAGAATGGAGATTATTTTGATGCTTTGAGGCATAATATCGATGGCGATAATCAAAAATTGAAATGGTATTCACTGACAATTTTATCCAAAGTTCACTGACACTTGTTGAAAGTGGACAACTATGTACAAAGAAACTTAATGAACCTATAAATAGCACCAGAGCGTAGTCAGCCTGTACCCACTCTGCCCATCCCATATTACGTCAACCGTCAACAGCCTGTGCTGGTCACTGCGGCTAACCATTAGTTCGCTGTCTCTGCCACCGGCCTGATCCGCTCGCACCTACCTCTATCTCGTCGGCGGTGAACCGTTCCGTGGGGCCGGGCAGGACCAGCACGCGGGCATCGGACAGCACGTCCGTCGACAAAAACTCCGAGTTGCTGTGAACCAGAGTTAGCAGGGCGGCGCGCGAAATCAGTGTAAATGATGCAGTACGTGAACAAAGAAGCGTGGTTCACTGTCATGGTAACAAAATATGCATAATATAAACATGCGCAATGTAAATGTGCTTGTATTTCGACAAAAAAAAATGAAAAGAAAATGAGAGTGGTAAAGAAATCACAATTTGGACTACGAGAAAATATTAGGCAACAATCACTGCAAGATAGCAGCGTATTTAAAGTAACCAAGATAAGCAGAAACTATAATATACTCTGTTCCATATCAAAATTGCGGCCGAAGTGCCCTACAGAAAGCAGTACGTGATTTCTATAGTTACAGCTATTACATTCAAATACCAAATTATTGTACTGATGAGCCATTTGAGCCAATTGCCGGCCTTGCAATTGCCGAAAGAACTCCGACCGCAAGCTTTATATGGAACAGACTATCATAAGAATCAAATAAAGATTAATACTTATTTAACTTTGTGTTTATTGCATAGGATTTTACCTTGTGATTTTCCAGTTTCCTTTCAGTTTTCTCGACAGTGTCTTAAATCCAGTTGATAACTGAAGTGCTTCACCTTTTGATGCATTGAATATTATATGATCACCCCTTGCAGCATCTCCTTTCGAGTTCTGAAAAAGACCAGACCAACTTCTACTTAGACAACCAACCCACTGTTGTCGTCAACTGCATCCCCGGCCTCTGCTAAGATAAGGATATATGAGACATGAATTTCATAAATCGTGTCATCCTCATACTAGTGATGTCAGTTACGGAACATCGGAATACCGATACCAAACCAAATACCAACCAAACCTGTAGAGAAATACCCAGGGGCGTCGCCGACGGGGGGGTCGGGGGGTCGTGACCCCCCCCCCCACTCTTGAAAACTGGGGGTGTCGACCCCCCCACTTTTTGCGATGTTGAGTATGCTTTTTTAGCTTTTATGTCAGTGAAGCAGGCGTCAGCAACACCAACAAATACATCAGATTCAAAATCGCTTCAAGAGCTCCCTAAAGCCAATTAGCCAGTTACCTAAAGTTCAATTAGCTGTGGGCGGGGAACACCAGCACAACAATGTTTTTAAGTAGCCCCCATCCTAGTATACCTTTTTATCCCTCAAAGGATTGGACGCGCCAAAACTGCCCCGAGCGTTCGTCTGATCGTTTTAAAAAAATGGTCGCAGTCGATTCGTCGGATCAGTACCTAACTACAAAACTACAAACTAGCCTCAGCCCCATGGCTACCGTCACAACTATCTGTACAGTGCACATGTAGGGGAAAGGGAGTCAGATGGAACCGTCTCGGGCTTTCGCAAAGAAGTCGCGCAAAAAGGAGCCGATTGCAACAAAACTTCCGGTGCGCTCGAGTTAATCACCTACTTAAAATAAATCGATATCCCTGATTCAAATAAAGATGACCTTAGTTCACTTTTTCATAACGTGCTTTTAATTGATAGGGTAGTTTTTGGAGCTGATTTTGAACTTAGCGCCCATCTGAACATTTAAGAAGTAGTTGTGTTGCTTATTCATATAACATGCTAGGAAGCAATCGGTGGTGGTCATCCACTATTACATAGGTACTGGTCGATCTGACCTGACCTGATCTACTCCAAATGCATGGAGTCATCATCTTCGTTCAAAACTAAGATAACATTCGTAATCAGAACCTCGAAAAACCATCACAACTTACATTCGTCAAGTTCTAGCAGGTCCCGAGTTTCTCTACTTATTGGCGATGACCTGAGTCCTGAGATGACCCGAAAACTTGTAAATGGGTATCATCGGCTTTCTCTCGTCACGGGCAGCATGCTCTTTTTTTCCGCAAACCTGTAGATCGATCAGGGGTCGAAAGCATGTCTCAGCGTTAGTTTAGTATCGTTATACGTTAGCGACTGGGAAACCACCAATAGAAGGGCTACAGTGAAGCAGAAAACTATTCGATAGCTCTTTTAACGCTCTTTCGCTAGCTTCGCGTTAGATTTCATCTCAGGTCTATGTTTGGCCCATAAGAAGGCAAACAGCTAACTGGACAGATTCTGCCGAAACATCTGCTTTGCAATAACTTTCGATTCCGTGAATTTGTTTTTCATTAAAGTAAAAATTTGTAAGGTATGTACATATGTTGTCTTGTCACCACCGTCTTGATCTCTTTGAGACGCGTCACATGAGTTAAAATTTGACCATTCAGAATATAGCGTTAAAACGACCTCAGGTCAACGTTATGTCCTGATCGAAAAAGGACCTCCTGCTGCATATGAATGGATCCGTGTTGTTGAGCTGAAAAGTGAACACCTTCCAGGTGCTGTCATCGCTCTACCGCGTCTTCGTCAAAAGTTGTAGAAAAAAATGCTGGTGGCCATCGATGGACATTTCCACTAATGACCTTTCGAGTCATCACTCGCCATAAGTTGCACCCTGTCCCTGGCAATGATGAGCTGATTTGTCATGGCTCCAAAGATATTTTGCGTTTCTGACGAACCATTTCAAAGCAGGAGGCATTCGTGCTTTTTCTAATTTCTCATTATTTTCTAATGATGAGGTCACGTATTTGACCTGCCTTCAGATCAGATGTAAATCCTCAGTTAGAATCATGAATTGCTGACACGTATAACCCCATACATTAGGTACCTATACAGTGTACCAAATTTCGAAGTTATGGCAGAAAAGCTACAAGAATGGCGAGAGGGGAAAGTTTATATAGAGGTATACCGTATAACTGAACTTGACATGGCGACCTGACCTTAAGTCTAAGTGACCAGTGATAATTTTAACGCAAGTGATGTAGGTAGGTATACCTACCTAATAGGTTATACCAAATTTGGCGGCGCTGCGCGCCGATTTGTTACACACGCACACACACATACGCACGCACAAATCTGGGAAGTGTGGCAAAAAAAAAACACCCCTACCCATCGGGTGAAGACTAGAAACCCGACCCCCCCACTCAAAAATCCGTGACGACGCCCCTGGAAATACCGAAACCAAACCAACTTGGAAACATGAGGGAAATACCAACTTTTTACCAATTTCTTTGCCTCTTATACATAAGTGAGGGTTCATGATACCAACAAAATACCAAACACATTAGGATTGAAATACCAAATACCTACCAAGTTGGTATCGGTTTGGTATCGGTATACCAAAAAGTCGGTATCCGATTGACATCTCTACCTCATACATCCAAATGTTTCAAAGCAATCATATGGCCTGTGTACTAGGTACTCAGTGTAGTTAGAGCGAGCATTTACTTTTCCGTAAGAAGAGTTAGCGTTTCTTGACCTGACCTGGCATGACCTGGGTATCGAATTTCCTAGACTCATGCATAGACAATGTATGCCTATCGTGCAGTATAATGTGCCAAAAACAGCAATATATTTAGGTACCCGCCATTTTGAACTATTCATGAAAGGGTAGATATTAACGAAAACGTAGTTGGGTGTTCCCAGAGTGTTGGGTGTTCACCAGAGAAATGAGGATTAAGAAGGACCGTTTAACGATCACAAGTATTGGTCTTTTTACGGCGTCTAGGGTATACAATGGTTCCGAAGCACCCCGCCCCCCTCCCCCACCCCCGTTGCCATTTGTCCCTTCATCGAGTTAGTCATTGTACCGCTCGCACGTTCGTCGCCTAAAAAGTATTACTGGTCAATGGTCATGTATGTTTTGCATGCGTTCATTAATCGTTGCTCTAGTGGTGAGTGCATCCTAATTCCATATGAGTCTGCAAAGGTACGGTCTAAGTAGGAAGCGAGCAAAACTTTCCACTCCGCTGGCACTTGTGTCGCGCTGAGCCTGGCTCTCAGCCACATGTGTATGAACATTTGAACTACTAACGTTATCTGGATTGTCACTTGTTGGAAACGGGATTTGATCGATGGAAAGATTGGTGGTGGCGACATGGGCGGAGCTACGTCCCATGTGACTCGGTCCTGTGTCGACGTCGGCTGTGGTCCGGCTATCGAGGGGCACAGAGCATCGATCCTTCATTCGATCAACAGCATCGCCATGGCCGTCCTGATGCGACTGAGTCTCGGCATTGGCGCCGTCCTGCTGGCAATCGCCGGCAGTCAGGCCGGCCCAAGCAAGAGGGTCCTCTCTCAGACTCGTATGGGTAAGCACTAAGCACCATGCGTCAGCCGCCACACCAGATACGAGTGGTGGACATAGTAAATTACTATGTAGTAATAGACACCGCACGCTTGGGTAGTATATTGTGATCATCACAACGCTGCTTAGAGAACTAGAAAACTAGACGCTTGACTCCGAGTTCAATAGAAGACATGCCACGTCCTAAAACTGCACAACCGATGACTGTCATGAACATGCTTCCTCTTCCAACAGACGTGACCATCGACAACGCACCGTTCGTTACGGACGAGGTGGTCGACTCGTTTGAGATGCTGCATGTGCGCCAGTGCGAGCCAGAGGGCTTCGACTGGACCAAGGAAGGCCATCAGGAGCTGAAGGAGATTCTGGAAGGCTGCGAGAGCAAGGTCAAGGCCGGCGGACTCGGAGCTGACTGTGACGGTGTCGAGTTCAGCGCCCTGTACTTTTTGTGCATTGCCAACAGGTGAGCAAATTATACCTACTTTTGCCTTTTCGCTAGAATTAAGAGGTCTCCTGCATGCTGGACAGCTGACCATTCCTTGCTTGAAAATTCCGTCCTGGTATATCGAACTGAGTCGTCACCATGGAGAAATAGGGAAGACAATGAGCGATCTTAGCATCTAATGGTGGTTGTCATTATAAAATCCAGCAGGATAATCTATCGGAATATTAGTACTCTGAGAATATAGCGAATTATAACATACATTCTCATTTGAACTGGGATCGGTTCATCTAATGCCATGTTTGACGTTACAGCGTGGGCGAGCTTGATGCTGCCGGAACGTCGTTCGACCTCGACGCCTTCCAGGACAAGACCGATGGCTACTCGGACGACCCCAAGTGGTCCATCACCGAGGAGGACATGTTTACCCACTGCATCCGTAGGTCAACCGCCGACCTTACGCCTCGCCAGCAGGCTGTCTACGCGTACGCCTGCATGAAGTGGTGCTTCGCCGTCTCCTGCGACGATACCCTGATTGAAGAGCAGCGGCTGGATAATGAGGGAAGGCAGCGCATTGTCTCTTTCCTCAATGGACACTGCCCGATGAGCCCCACCGTTATTGTGGACGCCTTCGGTCAGCTCACCAGCCGTACTTGGGCAGAGTGCACCGATTCCGTGGCCTCCATCAGCAACGATTACGACGCGGCCGTCGGCAGGATCAGTTGTCTGCTGCAGGACTTCCAGGCGATGGACGGCACTGTCGACTTTGACAGCCTGAGCAGCGCCATCAACAGCATCCCGGGAGATAGCGACCTGGCGCCCACCCTCAGCTGGAACCTGTTGCTGGACGTCTGCGGACCGAGCGACGCGGCAGCCTCTGTCTCGACCGTGGAGTTCATTGAATGCTGGGCTGGCTATGGCCTGTACTCGTGCGCCTTCATGGAGGCCAACGCACTGGCACGCCACTTCCCATCGACCTGCACTGTCACCCTCTAATTGACCAGGGCTCATGTCATGTCCTTCTGAAACTCTGAGAACGATTTCACAGGCTCAGTAGACTGCTTCTTAGGTACTTTTGTTTTATCTAATACACTTTCTAGCACGTACTTTACCGTTGTTTGTAGTTCTTTACCGGGAGCGGACGGAATCGGAAGGTATTCATAAACGCAACACAAGTCATCTTTATAATAAATGGGCACCAAACCTGTGGGTACCGCAAACTGCTGAGTGCGATGTGTGCGGTGTGTGCAGCAGGCGTGGGGGTAGGGGAATGGGTAGTCGTAATGACGTCACACGGCTGCGTGCGGGGGACCGCACACAGCCATCGCTGAGGCCGGTCCCGACCGACCACAGCGGTCGCTGTGTGCGGTGACGGAAGGCTGACGTAGGGACGCAGTGGGCGGAGCTTAGAGCCTGTGTACGGTCCGACCACACACAGGACCCGTGAACAGCACAGCCCCCTGTTTTTCAACAATTTTTATCCGAACATGCGTCGATTGTTTCGCTAGATCTGCTCTTTCCATTTGCCTTACTGAATCCACCTTTCGCATCCCACCTTCAGGCTTCTGAGCCTACCACAACCATAAATCAACGAGGGTTGGAACAGCCCGACGAGGCGTTAGAATTTTCGCTTTCAATTCAAAATTTATGTTGAAGCTTGAGTTGGATAGTTGCATTAAAACGCTGGGCGCAAAGACGCCCCAGAAATTGTCAAGGGAGCTAGGACGACAAATGTCTGCTTCCTTTCGTCTTTGAAACGTAAATGAGATTGGGTGGTGTTTGGTCTCCCGTTTGATCGGTCACCCACACTGCATTTCATAGATCGCTTGTGATGAATTAATTACAACCAGACGACTACCTTTTGGGGCGACAAATAAGCGAGCAGCACCCAAACCGTGACGCATGGGAATTCACTGCCTGGTGGGTATCCACTTACATGCTATTTGACAAGTTTCAGAGCTATTGGTCCAGTAATAACAGTTATTGCAATTTAAAAAAAAAACTGACACATCTTCGTTTTGCACGTCGTGGCACGTGCGTTTGGGGTCATCAACATGCATTGGGATTTGGGAATAGCTTAATAGGTACTTGGCAGAATGAAGCTACACTACAAAAAAGCAAGTGAATCGGTAAGGTGGTTGTTGAGATATAAGCCTCATCAATGCATCCCCAGGGTCAGCCACTCCATACTAAGAAATGTCTGCTCTTCTACCCAAGATTGCACTCTCTCATAAAACCTACCAAAAATTATGAAATATGGCAAAGTTTGTATGCACTTCAATATCAACAGGACATTATTTCCTAGTTAACATCAATGCGTGTCATCATGAACAATGTCTCTTTTCATCTTACCTCAAAGGAGGGAGCCATTTTCTTCAGTCTTTCAAATTTCTCTCTGATGCTCAGCGTGAGAATACCAGGTGAGAGTACCAGCCCCAGGTGAGCGCCTTGTATTCACAGCAAAATGCCTGTGTTCTCAAATGAGCAGACATCTGGAACATCAGTGAATCACCATACTATTATCAAAATCACTGTGAATGCTGCATATCAATATCACAACACCTTAAAGTTCCAACACAATATTGTTCCAGTGCTAAGCATCCAGCTTGTGTGCAGAATTCTCGAACAAAACTCGACCAGAAATCCATTGGATATAATCTAGTGGAGCCACTAATATAATATCACTCAAATGCAATCCATTTTACCAGCAATCAGTAACACTTTCACTCACAAACTTGTCTGGAGCAGACACTACAAGCCAGGCCTCTCTAAATTTTCAGTTCATCTTAATTAAATCTATGGTCTTCCTTGGTGTATCTAATCACCAAATGTCTTCTTTTTAAATCATCATGGTTTCAGTGATTTGTAGTTTAGTGGTTAAATTCTGCTGCCCATGCACCTAACATAGCTGGCTTTAAGAAAATGATTGAGGTACATGCTCGTGATAGCCTGTTCAGGTGTGATTGAGGATAGGCACTGGCAGTGCTGATTTTGTTGGTAGTTATACATAGACATGTAAGTTACCTACTTCCTCACGGCTAAGCACGTAGAAGTGTAGAAATCTGACTGTATTCATCTGATGTGCTTTGTGGAAGATGCACAATTCCAGTCGAACCTTTTAAAGAACAATGCAACATCAAGAATATTGCTACTGGGCTGGTGCGTCTGGCATTCAGGGTTCCTTCCTATTCCTTTTTCAGTCTTTCCACCTTGTCTTTTTCTTTCAGACACTAGTGGAAACCCAACCGGGTAGGAGAACCAGGTCTGATTTATGATTGTCTTGAATGACATCAAATTTTACTCCTCAACTGATGACACCATTCCATATCATGGCAATCATGCCAAAACTTGCCCCAGTCCAGGGCCCTGTTTCACCGGTGATAGCAGGGGGATGTCACTACTTTGCTTCGCCATAGGTCCAGTACTGATGTCGTTGGTTTCGATCCCGGTGACGTCAGTGCTGTCTACATCCGGGAACTTATTGCACTTGGTTCTCATTAGAGGTGGCCATTTTGCTTTGTCTCGTGACGACACATTTGCGTCATCGGGATCGAAACTGGCTGTAAACAAATCGCTCAGTGTCGCTACCTACTATATATGGCCTTGGGTGATAGCAGCACGCTGCTATTACACGTGTCAAATTGGGTTTCCATGGAAACATCAACAAACCATGACACCGTCAATCTGTGTGATGTCATAAAATATTGTTGCTAACATCTTCACGGCCGTGCGATCAAACAAATGTTATCAACTGCATTCAACGAGACAGCAACTCTGTTCCAAACGCAACTCACGGATTACACGAAACGTCATTAGTGTGACCTCATCACATTATGTCAGCTCGCGCAATTTGATAGTAGCGTGCTGCTATCACCGGTGAAACAGGGCCCTGACATCAACTCACAAAATTGAGCTAAAGGTATTTCTCACACCAAAGGCATAGTCCACTAACTAGTCTTTCTAACTAAAAGCTGTTAACGAACTACAACAATAATACCAATATGCCTCAGAAGGCACCTAATGAAGACTGTTATGTAAACCTAGAACCCCTGCAGCTAACCCCAGAACCCCTGAAACTAACATTATAGCCATTATAGCCATGGATGAAGTATTCCTAATCCATGTTAAGCTATAGCCTTGACTAACATCAAGGCCCTATATACCTAATAGGGCCTTGATGTTATACCTATATACCTAATAGGGCCCTATATATCTCATTGATGTTAGTCCTAGGCCCTATATACCTAGGACTAACATCAATGAGAACAAGCGCATGGCTATGTAAACAAGCGTGATATAAAATGCTTATGTTCTACGCAGTTCTACATCATAAAAATGCGACGTATAACAATAATGATGCATTACGCTTGGTGATCTGTGGTTGTAAGCAATATCGACGTTTCAAGTGATAAATATACACAATATTTTGCAATATGTGCGCTATTTTGTCTCGCAAAATAGAGGCTTCCAAACATGCATTCCAGATATGGTAGCAATAGTAACAGTACATAGAAAACTTCATCAATGTGAAGTGACTCACAGGTCTCCTTTTGAGTTTTGACCCCTCCTTAGCGATGTCAATTTTACGGAAAATCGTAGTGCTCATAGGCGGCGGAACGGGGAGGGTTGGCCCTTTTATTTTGGCATTGTAACATTAGCCCTATGGGCGTTGCATGGAAAGAATGGTACCAAAAGTCGGCAGTGCCCCCCTTTGATTCAGGGTGTTCCGCCGCTACTGGTAGTGCTGATACCAAACCAACCAAATATCAACAATATGAATATCCATGGCAAAACACTGAAACCAAGCCAACTTGGGAATATGAGGGCAATATCAACTTTTTACCAAATTACCAGGCCAGCCTCGTTTACCTACCTACCTAAAGTGACCTTCCCAAATCCCACCTTAACATTAGGTTTGAGTTGAGATAGCCAAATTGGTGACCATGGCCTGCAAATACCGGTTTGGGCACTCACAAATCGAAAAATGCTTTAACCCTCGCCCTGGCAGGGGGGGGGGTCGATGCGACCCCCCCCCCCCTTAGAAGAAGCGTAAAAACGGCGGCTCGCAGCGCCGCCAAATTTGGCACAGCCTATGGGGCAACCTTTTTACATATGACCTGAAAATTTCAGGTCCGGGTGACCTTGGGTCAGGTCACCAGGTCAGAAAAACCGGTACAAGGTCATGGTCAAATTTCAATTTTCTTTTTGCACCTGTCCAACTCACAGTTTTGCACTGATTTCCTTCAAACTTTCAGGATGTGCTAAGTTCACCGAGTTGTATAACATATAGTTTGGGTTTTTTTAGGTCACTGACCTGAGGTCAGTTAGAGGTCATTACGTCGTAATGTTAAGCCTATGGGAAAATACTAAATTCGGAAAATACTGGAGATATCCGCTTCGTTCTATCACTTTTGTGCTTTGAAACCACAGTACTTAACAGCAGGTCACTTGGTGCTTCTTTGTTTGGTGTAATTATCCTTGGGTCAGGTCAAATGAGGTCAACTGAGGTCAAATGACGTTTTTGCCAATAACTTGACACATAATGACGCTAGAGCTTAAAAATGATATCATTGTGTTCCTGGCGATCAGCCGAATCGAATGATATGCGATATGATGCAATTTGGTTGACTTGAACTTAATTTATTAATTTAAGTTTACTTAAAATTTAAGAAAAACTTTAAGTACACTTAAGCAAGCTAAAAAGTATATCATTCGACGCGCCTTGACATGCTGAGTTCGCTGGTGCTTTTCTTTTTGCTCTATCTTAATTAGATCAAAAGTTATAAGCGAAGAACTTTTGACCTGTTTTTAGCGAAATTTTTACATTTATACCCCCAAAACCCCCTAAATATTGACCTAGAGCAACCAATTTTGCACAGGGGCGAGAACTCCAGGGGGCCCACCTACCTACCAAATTTGGTGTATCTAGGTGCCATAGGAGCCAATCGCGAGGGGGGGTCGCATCGACCCCCCCCCTGCCAGGCCGTGTTATGAAAAATGCCCTGCCAGGGCGAGGGTTAACCCGCGCCCGGCTGGGGGTCCTGGATTTCCACGCCCTGCTGGGGGAGGGGGTGTTTGAACACCCCCTTCTAATTCGGCTCCTGGGGCACGTAGCGATACGCAAAAGGCGGAGTTCGAAAAATCGCCAAAAATAATGACGAAATCACTTCGGTCACTTTTTTGGTCAGGTCAAAGATCAGGTCACCAGAGGTCATTGAAGGCAAAATTTCGCCGATTTCCAGGTCGAATGTCGACAATTTCTAAGAAGCCAACGCATAACTCAGGAACCAATAGAGCTACAGCGCCGCAGAAAAGCGCATTCCATAGCCCTTCTAAGTTTTAACGCCCTTTCTGAGTAATACTCTCAGATTTGACCTAACGTCAACAGTTTTCCTGCAGGGGGCGAAAACTGCAAAAATAGACGATTTTTTAAAAAAGTTTTTCTGCGATAACTTTTGACGTGAGCCTTGTACGAGATTATATTTACCGGCATCGTGTTTCTCTCGTCAAGACGCATCGAATGAACTATAACTTGACCTTGAAAGGTCAACTTGAAAATTTGACCTCAGGTCAAGGTCATGACCTAAGCGGAAATGGTCATGTTGCATATTAGTCGATCCGTATCGTCGAGCTGAACACATCTAAGGTGTTTCCATCGCTCTAGCATGCCTCTATCAAAAGTTATTTGCGAAAAAAATGTTAGATACCATTCGTGACCTGAGATGACCTCAGGGGCATAAACAGGGGTCACGGACACCATTTTCATGTTCAGTGTGTCTAAATTACTTGTAATTCGGTGTTTTGGAGTGTTTATAATGTCTTTCGTCCAAAACAGGCGCACTTCAATTTTCTCCCATTGACTTATAATGGGGAGGTCGCAAAATTGACCTGACCTTACGTTATCGATATCAATCGCTAAATAAAGTGACAAATGCCAGTTTTGTTGGATATGCTAACTTAACAGCCTTGTCATGATCAACCATACCAAGTTTCAGTATCGCAGTTGGTCTAGAACATGGTTAGATAATAAAAAGTTCGGACCTCTTCAAATTTGACCATTTCAATGACTCTAATAAAATGGAGCCCAGTTAGGCATTTAGTGGTAACTTATCTCTCAGTGTTGGTTATATTGGAAGGCCCATCAATTATCTTTCATTCGTGCATAAAAAGTATTACATTCTTCGTAAAATATCACTGGAGATCTCCCTAAAGGCTTTTTCGAGAAGCATGGCAAAGTCACCCCGCAAGGCAAAGTCACCCCCGTTTACGGTACTAGCATTATATAGATATGCTAATTTCATAAACGTGCTTACGCTTTAGGTTTACGTGAGTGGTAAACCCTTAAAGGTAGTGTGCCAGCTTTCTTGGACCGTATGGAGTTAATGGCCCAGATAAGGAGAACCGGATTTTTAGAACTTATCCATACCTTCAAAACTCATGGAAACGTCTTAAATTCTTCAAATTTTGAGTAGGGGAGAGAGGTCATATTGCGCCATGTTCTTAAATGCGCCACACCTTCCTCCTGCCCAAAATTCGATTCGAACGAATAATCGAATGTGTGCATTTACTTCACCACCAATAACTCGCTCTTATTCCGGTCCGCGGGGGCAGGTGAGGTGTCTCAGCTTTCTCGCAGACCATTTTTTGTGATTTCCTCTATTTTCTTACGCGAAACAGTCTATTTCGACCTTTGCTAGTGTCGTGGTTTATCTTAGAGATAGTGATTCAACTAATAATCATTGTTAATTGCTCGTTTAATGGTAGTTTTGAAAGCTTATCACCACCGTGGCTTCGCTGTCGTCGCCATATTAGAAGCTCATGAAAAATGTGTTCCATTCGTAATTGCGCCCACCCTATTTGCGCCCTATTCTTCAACCCAGAGAAACGGCATCTGGTGGTTGGGAGACATTTCATTTAACACTTTGATCATTAGAGCGCTCATCTTACCATTACCTTAGCCTTCACAGCATAAATGGTTAATGGGCTGACACGTTCAAATAGGCTACTTAGTTATGTGGCAAAC